TTCAGGATGCTGTAACTGGCAGGGTAAACAAGTCCCCTCCAAACTTCCATGATGCCTGACTATCGACACAATATTAAAGCATGCATCAGCGAAACAAAGCAATCAGTCAGTCACTTGTCTGGAAGACTGTGGCGTAGTTCCCCTTTAGGCTGGTTGCACTAGCAAGTACTTCAGTTTTAAAATGGAGCCAAATTCATACTACGTTAGCCCAGTAAAATATTGAGCTGTTCACTATAGCAGCAAATATGAAATCACAGAAATAAAATGCACAATTAAAAAATTCATTTCTGTTCGATTATCTTCTTTAACCAAACATGAATTTCTTCTATCACTGAATTATGATGTTATCTCAATCAGACGTTCTCATTATGCCGCTTTGGAAAAAGACAATTAATAATCTTGGAAAGCTTAGATTTACTCTTACAAATGGAAATACGGAAATTTTAACATAAAAAAGGCTTTTCTATAAGTATTTGTCACAAATATATATATATTTAAATATTAAAATAGGCTACCGAGGATTTTTATAAAATGGCTTTTGAAAAGACAGTAGAGGCACAAATAGCCATATACTATCCTCCAAGTTGGGTATAAGGTGCCACAGGGGTGCCCTACAAAGAGGGAGACAATCTCTATCTGATGCAGGAGGAGGCACCAGGAAAAACAGAGCGATTAAATGTAGTATGGGGAAGTTGGATGAAAACCAGATTTTACTCTAACAGAGACTGTTGATTTTTTAAAAATACCTTGGAATATAAGCATTAGAATTTTCACAATGAAGAAAATGAATAGTTTCTGATCTTACACCTTCCAAATCCCTGATAAGGGTTAACACCAGGCACCTGGACGATGTAAAGCAGTGCAACTTTCACAATCTCACTGACTCTCAGTATGAGAGACTTACATATGTAGGTCAGCTGGAGAATTAAACTGATCACTAAATGCAACACATCACTAACGAAAACACTTAGAATTGCAGAAAACGTTTCTTCCAGAAAAGCAATGTTTCTAGACACTGCACAGGCCTTCCCCATCTTGAAATGAGCACAGCTTCCGCCAACACTGAGGGAAACTGAGCATGAGGAGGAGGTGCTGGAGTCTCTCTTCAAGCAGGGACATGTAGCCTTCCTTTCTTAGCTGCAGTCCATGTACTTTGGTAACCTGAATATTTTTTCACAGGATAATTTCCAATTTACTGGGGACTAAAATGATTTTAAGTGAATTATTTCAATCTGGATATGGCTAGAGTGGCAACTGGGAAAACAAGGGCGATTTAACAGTCATGACACCATAGCCTCCCAAACCATCAAAACCAAGTATTTTATTAATCGATAATCAAAACTGCAGCCATAGCTTTGAGATTAACCAGCAAAAGAAGTCAATTTAAAAGAGAAAGGCAAGGATCAAAGGATTTGATTTTATAAACCAGGCACTTCAAACTGAAATAAAAGTCCCAAAAGTTAAAAAAAAATTTGTTCTCAATCAGTGATCTGAACTTTCAAGTTCTTTGTAAACTATTATGTACCCAGGAACCTTGATATTAATTAGAACGGGCCTAGACCCTATCTACTTAAAGGAAGTTTACTTAAGTAACATATAAGCTTTTAAGGCAGTCTCATTTTTTAAGACACTGCCAAGCAGACATTCCAATAACATCACCTGGCACCTCTGGTGTGCTACTATTTGTAAAAACTTTATTTTTCAATCATAAAAATATAATCACTATGATGTAGTAAAATGATTTTTAAAAAAAGACAACAATGGCCCTAGTTTCAAGGGTCTTCCTCTATACTCTGTTATAGGTTAAATTCTCCTACATGTTATAGCTCAACATATTTAAAATATGAAATGAAACATCCACAGATTAAGTGTGGCTTAGTTGAACCTGGAAACCAGGCCAATTCCAATGAATCTAAATTGTTTTTGGCAATTCATTTGTTGAGGGCTCAGTTAGTTAATTGTGCCAACCTGGCCGATAAACATATGTAGGGCTAATTGAAAGGCGAGGGATAAATGGGTGGTGAGCCTCGCCTTTCTAGTTCTAGTTCTCGGGTCTCTTGCTTTGTGATGGTCGCACCAGGGTGCAGCTGCCTTAGCAGTTCCCTGCTTCAGCTTGCAAGATTGACTTCCTACAAGACATCCCCAAGGAGAAGCCGCATGGATCTACCCCGATGCAGCCCTGGGTGCTGGAGCAGCCGTGTGGAGACCCCTGCTAGTGCTGAGATGCTTGTTCGTTCACTGACTCAGCTTTCCTCCTGCAGTCGGCATCACTGCCTCTGTTTTGTGAGGTGGAGGACTTTGTGGACTGGTGTTGGGTTAATGTTTTAATGTTGGACTTGTGGGCTTGAGCAGCATTGGATTGGGATGTTTTCATGATGCACACACTTTCTTTACATAAAACTCTCTTATACATGAGTTGCTGTGGATTTGTTTCTCCAAAGTACCTAGACTAATACAAGGGCATTCCATAAAAAAATATCCTCTGAAACCACATTATGTCAAGCAAAAATGATACTGAAAGAGAACAATGTACATAGGCAAAATAATAACCTGAAATCTGATGATTTCAGCTTAAAGCCTTATGTGTGCTTAGCTATAAATATTCTTCAGAGAGATGTTTATAACAGTTCCTTTTCTACTCTGCTCCACTGTTTCAGATAAAACAACCCCCCAACTTAGTTTCTATACATTTTCCCCTCAATAGCTTTCAAAATTTAAATATATTACTAAGTATATTTTGTCAATAATTTACAGTAAAAACATTTACTATTATTATCACCTTTTAGCAACTTTAGATCTGTTTCTTCCAAATACTAATTTTACTAGGCTATTCAAGGTAATATTACATCTGAAAAAGTATTTATTCTTCCTCACTTGGGTGTATATTTCAGAGTTAGAGCTTCACATTTTTCAAATGAGCAAAAGAGAGGTGAGGGTGACAGAATAAATGTTTTTTGTTTTCCTAACAACAACAACAACAACAACAAACAGCTGCCAGGAAAAAAAAGGGGCTTTAATTATCTTGTTCATGAAACCCCTCAAATCGCAAGCTCTTGTCAGTTGCAGCATTACCCAGTTTGGACTGGTCACGCCTGCAGCAGCAGGCCCCAGAATCTGTCCATGTGGTATAGGAGTGGAGAATGGCCATCAGCTAATATGTCGTGTATTTTTCAGGGATGAAAAAAGCTACAACACTAAATCATTTTGAGAATCTTTACAATGAGATCCAATAAAAATAGATAACCAGTCACTTTTTAGATTAAGGTAAGATTATAAAATGGTAAGAAATAAAGGACTAGAAAATTTAAGAGAGCTTCAAAAAGCTTTTGGCTCTGGCTTCCAGGGAATCTGTTTCAGTAGCTGGTATGTAACTTAGTTATGAATGTAAGTACTTTACACTTGCTGCCATTTGGTAAAATAATTTTTAAAAAATACGTTTTTTGGGGGGCTTTTTGTTAATTCCAAAGGGCACGTGTCAATACATGGAACCAAATTACAAATTACTGTAAATAAGCCAGAATGGGTGACTCAGTGAGATTAAACATTATAGTACACATCTCACTGTAATTGAGAACTTTTAAAGTAAGCAATATATAACTAAATTACTTGAAATAAAAAATTAAGAAAATTACTTGAAACTAAAATTAAGAAAAAATTCTTTAAAAAAAATTCATTTGAGTATATTTGTGGGCAATGACTTCCAACTGTAAGCATTTATAGAAACTTCAAAATGCAAGAGAAACATGTTTCCTGCTAGAAGCACGGGCAGGGGCTGCCGCTGCCACAGCATCACGAAGATCTCTGCTCCTTTCCAATGTAGACCATTACTTATGTGACAGGCAAAAAGTTAAAATAAGATCTTTTCTTATAAAATGCTTAGTCTTAAAAGGCCATTTAACCTGCATTCTAAAATTTAAGCCCTTTAAATATCACAAAGTTACTTTCTTAGGCCTTAAGAAAGACAACTAGGTTTGTTTGAAAATTATTAAGTAAAATATTTCTATGCTTTGTTATATTGGCAATTTGATGGTTGGGGTATTATAACTGGCTTTTGGCTCTGCAACATTTCCATATTTTCTGATAAAAAATAACACATCCAGTCCTTTCTCTCTTAGTTGAATTTTAAACAAATTTAATAAAATACTACAAGTTCCCGCTTCACTGAAAAAGAAAACAATGCTTTTGTTTGTATCATTTTGTTAAATATTGGTTAATTTCCTATATTGATAAGATCAGGCAACTCACAAACAATGCAGTTTCACAGTATAGTCAAATTTCCCATACAATTTGGAAAACTGTGCAACAAGAAATTTACATTTTCCATTTTGGAAAAAATAGCCAGTCATGGTGACCCTTCATTCTGAGAACAGTCAGGAGCCTAGGAACTGCCACAACTGTGCAGGACTCTCTAAAAGGCACAGTTTTCAGGATAACCCCAAAAGATTCTTTCATACTGACTTCTGTTTTCCTCAACCCCATTTCCTTCCTTCCTTTATTTTTTAAGTATCGTTTGGAAGTGAGAACAACAATGATTCCTGGTCATAACTTTACCTATTCTTTGTCTTGACTATGAAGGTTTAAAGAATTAACTTTGAGATTTACCTACTGATAGGTGTAACAATTTTCAAAGAATACATCTGACATTAAAAAGAGTAATTCCTGCCTTTTCCAGTTGAGACACTGTCACAGTGTAAATCAGTGACAGTCTGCTGCAGGTTTCAACTATTAGTAAAGAAATATAACTGTTGAAAGCTCATTACAGCTTATAGACAAGCCCATCAAAATCTTGTTTTGTCTGATAACTCATATGTAACAGTAGATCTATGTCTGGGTACAAAGGGGCAAACAGGTTCATGAGTATGGTACAGAGTTAGAAACAAGTTATTAAGTACAGCAGAATATGGGAAGAGATAGAATCTTAGCCCAAATAAATAATAATGAGTTTCCTTTCCTTTCCTTTACATTTGTGGGAAAATATATTACATATATAATTAGCCAATTTAAAATGAATCGATTAAAAATTTAAATTACAATGTAAACATTATAATTTAAAAAAATATATTTTAATTACTAAGGTCTTGTCCCTAAACAAAATTTTGATCTAAGGGGTTGCATTTATTTCTTTTATTCCTAATCCATTGTGGTATTTTCCTAACTATTTAACTTTGGGTTTAGATACAGGAAGAGAGTCACATGCTCTTTATTCATGGACTCAAGAATATTTAGGATCAAGATTAGTTGTGCTTTAATGGCATCAAATAAAAAATATATACCCTAGTCAAGAGCATCATAAATTTCAACTACAAATGATAAGTTGCACTCTTAGCAGCAAAAAAATGTGTTGTTCATTGTTTTTAGCTTTTAATTTTAATAATTCTCACTTTTCCCCCCAATAAATTTATGAACCATTGATAATTTAATAGCATTTATCTTTTACATTATTGCTTACTTGTATGAATAACAATTGTAACTGTCTTTAATGAACTTGGCAATGTCTGAAAATATTTTTGAACAAGAATAATATATCACTGTCATATGGAATTTCTGTAAACCTTAGTTGGTTTAAGAATGTAGCCTCAACAAATAATTTATTTTGTCCAAAAGAGCACAATAAAATATCCCCAATGATACATAAACCTATATATAAAATATAGACTTATTTCCAATATTTTTCCTTTATATAGTAGCCCATTCAAATATACAAGGGAAGCATGGTGATGGGAGAAGAGGAAAACTGACTTTAGCAATGAACTAATTAGCCAGGCATTACGAGTCAAAGACCAGGTAAACATGACTGTTGTCAGAAAAGCAGTAGTAAAAACGTAATTCCTACTGTATTGTCTCCATCCAGGCCTGGTCATTTCATGTACAGTTGATTATTCTCTATCAAGAAGTACTGGGAATGCCTATACCAATTTCTCACCATAAAAAAATTATACTAGAGATGGACAAAGCTTAGAGATTAATTTGGGTTTCAGAAATATTTGCCCTAATAATTTGAAAGCTGGACCATAAATACTTCCAAAAACAATAGGCTTTACAAAATACTCTATGACTTCCTTGAGCATAAGAATAAAGAGTTACTCAAATCATTTGTCAAACTCTGTTTAGTAATTTCTTCGTGTATACTCTTTCATCTCAAGAAAGTCAATAATCATCTAACTTCCTCTTTATCTAATGCCGCTGTTAGCTGCGTTTTTACAATGGAAGAAGAAACTCATCTATATTTTAGACTTGCTAATTTTTCTTAAGACTTCAATTTTAAACATTGAACTATATTGTGTAATTAAAGAAGCAGTATCTCATCATGAGGAATAAAACCTCAGTTGCAGGGCTTCCAAACTATAAAGAAAAATTCTTTCCCAAATGCTTTTTTTGTGTTTAAAAAGTTAAATTAAATTTAAATGTATAAGACCACGCACAGGCACTTTCTAAAAATAAAAAAAGAAGCCAAACCACAGAATCACTCAATAGTTATAGAAGACAGCTCTGATTTGGGGAGGTCCTCTCTGGTTGCCTCAGCACAGGCACTGCTCTTTGGCTGCTCTGGCATTTCGTCCTCCTTTTCCACCAGCCCACCAAGAGCCCCCAAGGGAAAAGTGCTCTCACAATTCTGGGTGGAGGAGACCTGTGAAATGACAGGCATTTGAACAGAGGAGTTGCTTTCAAAGGAGTGTTCTCCAAGATCATACTGAACAAGGGTCTCTTCTTGCTCCTGGTTTAAGTAGTCCGGTACTAGGAAATCACTAGATAAAAGGCAAAGGTTGAAACACAGAGTTAATTTCCAAAATCTCAATAGATAAGACACAGTAAAAAGACATGATTTGTAAAACAAGATAATTCAAGGATTAGTGAAATAAAAAATTAAGTTTAAAGAATGAAAGTCACAGATAACTTTCAACTTGTAAATTTCCCTAAATATGAACTAAATAACCATCCCTAAGAACCAAAGTACAGTACTTAACTTTCCTTACCAACAAAAAGGTGCCCTGGTGGTTAACAGGTGGGATGCAACCAACAAGGTCAGAAGTTTGAAATCACCAGCAGCTTTGGGAGAAAGATGGGTTTTCTACTCCTGTTATGAGTTACACAGGGGCAGTTCCTAGCCTGTCCTATAGGGTTGCTGAGTCAGCACTGCCTGGACGGCAGTGAATACCACCAACAGGTTTAAGATTAGTTACCATTTTTAATTACTGTGAACTCCTAAACAGTTTTTAAATTCTATGTAGAGGAGTATCTATATAAAACAAATGCAATTAACATGCTCCCTAAAGCAAAGATCATTTGCATAATTTATTCTTATTTTTCTTGAATTATTCACTGGATAAACAAACCTTGCTTTTTGTATTATTTACTAGATATAAATTAGTTAAGAAAGTAAGTCTTTGTGCATAAATTAGTGAAATTTAAAATCAATTACGTGTATCTTGCTATTAGATTTGCTATATAAAAATAAATCACATTGAGTAAGAATTTGGAAATGAATGCCACAAAGATGATTATATATAAAAGGTGTTATTTAACAATAGGGTGAAGTGAGATCAGCAATGTTTAAAATTTCTTCCTATTTTCCTGAATTTTCTACAGTAAGCATTTTTAAAGTTAAACAAGAAGTATTTTAAAAATGTCTTAGTAGGCTTAGATGCTTTATATTTTATTTCTGTTTATTATCCTAGGAATGTCACAAACTAATACAATTCAGGTTGTTTTATAATTGCACAGTATTAATAAAAAATATTAAAACCTTCCCTTTAAAGCATTCTGTTACATATTTTTAAAAGTTTTCCACATATTAGACAAGAGATAACCTTATCTAGTGGGTTAAAATGGTCAACTGGAATAATATGATTGATATAATCTTTATTTCATGATCTAATAATCAGATTTCAGAATTAGAAATTACTAAGCAAAATTAATGTCTAATTTGAAGAGAAGGTGAGGTTTCCTACAGGAGTCCTGATGGTGCCACAGGTAAGTGAGTGGCTGATAACTGAAAGGTCGGTGGTTTGATATCACTTAGTGGGCTCCATGAGACAAAGACTTGGTGAGGTGCGTTTTACAAAGATTACATTTCTAGGACATGCTATGGGGCAATCCTGTCACATGGAGTATCCTGTCATTATGAGTAAAGATCAGCTCTACTGCACCCTACAACAGCAAGAATTCCCACAGATGTTCAATTCTGATAAGTATTTTTTTTTTTGAAGACAAGCGTGGTTTTATTTTTTTACAATTTGCCATGTATTGGTACCTTTATACATTAGTTCAATTATTGCTTAAAGACAGTACGACAGTAAGCATAGAAAACAGTAATGCAATAGGAGCTTGATGAACACTTCAAAATGATCTTCATCAGACTTAAAAACTAAAGTCATCTAGTCAAAATTTGTATATAGGGTCCATAATAATGGTAATATATTATTCCCTAAAACATTAGCTGTATGGTGGTTACATTGGTGTTTTTATATTATTGTTATTGTAAATAATAAAAATGTTAATATATTTCCAAGCTTAATTTTAGCTTGCTAGGGTATTTTATGGCCTAAAATTCAATGATAAAACACTAATGATGCTCATATATAATTTATTAGAAACAATTACCACCTACATACTCAATATATTAATTATAGCAAAATGTTTACAAATAATCTGAAACTTTTTATCCTGTTCTTTTATTATTTCAAATAAATTATTTTTGTCTACCATGCCTGATACCCATACATTAGTTAATAAAATCAACTTTTGTCTATTTGATACCCTGACATATTAAATAGAGCTTGAACCACATGTCTGGTGCCCTAACCACACATATGAGGAGCTGGCCTTAGTGGTGCAGTGGTGGAAATTCGCAGCTCTAACCGAAAGGTTGACACTTCAAATCAACAAGCCATTTCTCCTCCGGAGGGAGGTGGAGCATTCTGCTTCTTTAAAGACTCCGAGCTCTGTACGCCGTACGGAAGAACCATGCTGTGGGGTTTCCATGAGTCGACTGAAATGGCAACAGGTTTGGAATTTTGGTTTTGAACTGAACATAAACCAATCTACAGAAAGCCCTGGTGGCAATAGTGTTACTCATTGGGCTGTCATCCGCAAGGTCAGTGGTCCAAAACTACCGGCCACTCCTCGGGAGAAAGATGGGGATTTCTACACCTGTAAAGGCCTACAGTCGCAGAAACACCCAGGCTCAGCTCTAATCTGTCCTGTAGTGTTGCTGTGAGTCGACATCAACCTCATAGCAGTGAGTTTATACCAAGCTACCATTATAATTTTTTAAGTCATGCATTTTATTATATAACGAATTTAAAGTAAATTAAATGGCATATCACTTGTTAAATGGAAAAGTCAACAGAGTTATTAAAATGTTGATTTAAATGAATTTCATAATGAAATAATAATGACAATCTACAATAAAGTAATTTTACATAAGGCCTTTCTTATCTTTTTTTTAAAACATTTTATTAGGGGCTCATACAACTGTTATCCCAATCCATACACACATCAATTGTGTAAAGCGCATTTGTACATCGTTTCTCTGATAAGTATTTTTTAAACAACATAATAACTGCTTATATCTAGAGAAGACCTTAGAAACACTCTTATTTAAAACTTTCATTTTTGTTTTTCTGTAAGTTTCAAGCTGCCTCCTCCTTAAAGTGATATGCTCAATAGTAATAGTTTTAGTGGCACAGCTCAAACTAAAATCCAGGTCACTGCAAATCAGAAAAGTAACTTTATTATGAACTATGAATATTAAAAGAATTCTAGACCGAGAGAAAAACTTTTTTATTTGATCTATCAGTTACAGCTGTTAAAATTTCGGTCATACTCTTATTGAGACAAACGCCTTTTCCTTTATATACAATCCTGAAAAAATGAGAACTGCCTACGCATTTTAACACCTGAGTCTCTGAAGTCATCAGTTTCACTATCACTTGACAACGTTTCCAGTAAAATGCAGTTAAGATCCATTGCAGAATAACTTTAACAGAAAAAAACCAACAAAACAAAAACCAAGAGGTTTGAGTTGTTTAGTTCTGTAGAAAAGAATTTTAATATCAACTACAAAAATATAAGTTTATATACTCAGAAGATTCAGCAAGATTTTATCAGACTAGGAGATCAGCATATGGACAGTGGGAATTTAAAATGGTAACCTGACAGAAAACACAGGAGGCTGCTCTACCCAAAAGCAGGAAGAGAGAGTTTAGAAAGCAGTTTTCCTGGTTAGGTTTTTGTTGTGCACCTCACCTGCTCTGGAAGTAGTTTGCTAGCTCTGACGCTTCATGGTTCAGACTCCTCAGGTGCACGATTAAATTTCCAGAGTTGGTGAACATGGCGCCACATGTTTTGCACTCGTAAATCCGAGGCTTGCGGATAATGTGCCGGGAAACCCTCATGTGGTGCTTATATTCCCCGAAGGAAGTGAAAGTGGCACTACATATCTGGCACCGGAAACAGCGTTTACCTTCATGCTTTAGGCGATGCATCTTTAGCGAGTAAGCCCTGGTGAACTTTTTCCCACAGCGGTCACACTGAAATGGTTTAATTCCTAAAAAACCCCAAAGAACCCAAACATTACATTGTAGCGAAATATAATGTCATGAACCTAACACATTTTTAAAGTTTCAGAATAAGTTTTACAATAAATTTTGTAGCAATAGATAATTTGAGAAGACAGAAATTACCAGCAAAAAGTAATTTTAAATGTTACTTCAGAAAAGATGCTAGAAATCAACAAGTGGTTTTTAAGCAGAAATAAACAACAAAAAGGTACTAGGGAAGGTGCACAAATTGGGTAATGTAATATTCAAACTGAGTTTTTTAATACTTTTCTAAATTATCTATTTTAGACTTTTGAACACATTTAAACAGAACTGAAATCTCCATGCAACAATACTTATTATTTCAACAGGGAGCTTTATACTGAAAAGATGTAAGCTGATCAGTATTTCTCGCTGGTCCCTATCTCAGATTGAAATGAAAAAAAAAAAAAGAGAGGGAAGAAGGGATTTTAACATCTCTCTTTTTTTAAAATTTTATTTATTTATTTATTTTTTTAACGTCTCTTAACGTAACTGTCATGACAGACCCAACATGATGAATCGGCACTTTGACACAATGTTGTGTAATACTGACAGGGAAAATACGTAGAAATTATTAAGTGAAACACAGCTTACAAAAAACCCCCTGTCAATTTGACTTAAATAAAATCATATGGAAACAGTGTCAGAACAAGGATAATTAGGCTTATCTCCAGAAGAGTAAATCACAGCTTTAATTTTACCCATAAAAAGTTTGTTGTCTTTTATATGATCATTGAACTGAAATTTCAAATCAATTTTATATAGCATTTATCTAAACTTGTATATTAAAAAATTCCACAACAATCAAAGCAGAGGAGTTTAGGATTGCAGAATTCACCCACTACAGATTGTTTAAAAGACTTCTTATTTGGAAATAATTTCAAAATTACATAAAAGCCACAAGACAAACAGCACAAAGAACACATTTATGTATATACCCTTCTAAACCATATGCTAAATTTACCATACCTACTCAGGTTCTGACTCCCAGAGAGTTCTTAAAAATGAAAAGTACCTATTTCCTATTTTTAACTGTATTCCAAAATAAAATGTTTCAAAGAGCTCATTGATACATGACCAGGAAAGATGGCATTACCTGAGTGGATGAGCATGTGCTGTTTCAGGTTCTGAATGCGGGTGAATCGCACCCCACAAGTTGGGCACTGAAAAGGTCTATCTGGACCATTTGGACTTGGCCGCTCTGTGCTGCTGGTAGAAGGAGCAATGTAGAGTTGGTAGGGATACTGAACATTTTCCAATCTAAAAAACAAACAAACAAAAACAACAACACAACAACAACAACAACAAAACAAAGAAGGCAACTAGGCTCTGATTTTTCATGCTGAACAAACATTTCTGTGCTCTCACTTAAAGACTTCCTGACAAAAGTCAAAGTCTCAGGGCTTAAACTGTGAACAGCCAATTTATAAGAAGGTAAGGGAGGATAGTGGAAATCCAAAATTCATCTTCAGAGTTGCTTTCCTGTCAGAATAAGCTTTGACCCTTTATCAAAGGTATCAAAGGGATCAAAGTCACAGGCGACGGACTCAAACAGCTTTATTATCAGAGATTATTGTCAACTTGATTACAGTGAATCTAACCATAGTAGTTGACCTCTCTCTTGACCCAATATGAATTGCTCTATGTTCAAATATTTTTAGATTGTTCCATGACAGAAATTCCTTCTCTGGATTTTAAAATATTGCTGGTGGCCTTTCATTTCTCGTTTCTTTTTATCTTTATACGCTTTTTCTTTCTGTTTAGTTTTTTGTGGTTGTTGCTCCTGTTCTTCCCATTAGATTTCCCAGTTTAAGAAGCACAGAAGGAATGCAGAGAAACCATAACTGATGCAAGGTTTATCAAGAACACGTGTGTGTGTGTGTGTGTGTGTGGAATTGGGGAGCAATCAATGAATGTGGGAAAGAACAGTGGAACTGATTGTGATGATATATATACAACTCTTTTTAAAAGCAATTTAACTATGACAGTATATGAGATGTAAATATTTTATCAAGAAAACTGCTGAAAGAACACAAAGAAACCAAACGACTGATGGTTACCGTGGTGGAAGGAGAGAGATTCTGCTTAGGGGTCTCTGAGTTCATTTTAATAATGGCGTAATAATTTGGAGAGGGATATCAATAACGGTTGTAAAACACAAAGAATATAATCAACAACACTGAATTATATACATGTAGAAGTGGTTGAACTGGAATGCTTTGGTGGGTATATTTTTGCCAAAATTGAAAAAAAAATTCACTAGTAACCATGAGTACGAAGAAGAAAATATTCTAAAATTGATTGTGGTAGATTGTCTAGCTTCTTGGTATGACTGAACTTTTGAATTGTATGGTACGTAAATAAAGTGGCAATAAAACTGTTGAATAAAAAAGAGACTTCTTGAAATCCTTTACAGAAATAGTTAACACTGTTGGCAGTCAGGTAAGCAACAAACTTCTAAACACAAGGTCAACAGGTCAAACCCACCAGTACCTCCAAGGGAGAAGGATGAGGTTTTCTGCTCCCATAAAGATTTATACAGCTGCCTGTGTGATCATGAGGTGTGGATGAGTTCAGGTATCAGGCATCAAAGACCCAGAACAAAAAATCAGATCAATGTGAATGGGGTGGGTGGGGGGGTGCTGAGTGGAGACCCAAAGCCCATCTGTAGACAATTGGACATCCTCTTACAGAAGGGTCACAAGGAAGAGAGACAAGCCAGTCAGGGTGCATACACCTTTCCTCTAGTTCTTTAATGCTTTTTTACCCCATCATGACCCCAATTCTACCTTACAAATCCGGCTAGACCAGAGTATGTACACAGGTACAGATAAGAGCTGGAAACACAGGGAATCCAGGACAGATAAACCCCTCAGGACCAATAATGAGAGTAGCGATACCAGGAGGGGAAGGGAAAGGTGGGGGAGAAAGGGGGAACTGATCACAATGATCGACATATAACTCCCTCCCAGAGGGATGGACAACTGAAAAATGGGTAAAGGGTGACATTGGTCAGTGTAAGACATGAGAAAATAATGATTTCTAAATTATCAAGGGTTCCTGAGCAAGGGAGGGTAGGGAAAACAATGAGGGCTCAAGTAGAAAGAAAGTGTTTTGAAAATGATGCTGGCAACAAATGTACAAATGTGCTTGACATAGTGGATGGATGGACTGTGATAAGAGCTGTATGAGCCCCTAATAAAACGGGGAAAAAAGACTGATAAAGCTACAGAAAGTCTATGTAGGGCTGCTAATAGAATCGGAATGGACTCAATAGCAATGTCTTGTTTTTTATTGTGGGGTGGTGGCGCTTAGGTGACATGCAAAGCAATGCTATTGTCCAAGATGTCCAACATCTTAGGCTAAACTTGGACATAAGAACACAAATAGATCACACAATTTTACCTTAGCCTTCAACTCTCTGGTCCTTAATAACTCCTGCTCTAGTACCACAACCCACTCGTATCCTCCTCATGGTAACAATGCTTTTGAACTAAATCACATGGCTGCTTATAACCAAAGTATAGCTCACTTATCTTCAGAGTAAAGTTAAAACCTCTTTGCTCACCCCCACCGCCGTGACCCCAGTGAAGCCTCTCACTTCGGATTAGGCTGGAGCATGTACACAGCGTAGATACAAGATAGGAGTTCAGGACACACGCAACCCAGGAGCCGGGATGGCAAGAGAGATACCAGATGGGAAGGGTGAAGGTGGGGGTGGGGTGGGGTGGGGAGTGGTGATGGTGGAAGGGAAGAAGGGGGAAATGATCAACACACAACCACACTTACCCCTCCAGGGGAAAGAACAACGGAAACCATAGGGGAAGGGACAGTGGTTGGTGTGAGAAGACATGAGAATAATAATTTATAATCTACCAAGGGACACAGGGGTGGTGAGGGGAGGAGGGGGAAAAAAAGAGGAGCTGATATCAAGGGCTCATTAGAAAGTAGCTGTCTAGAAAAGAATGATGGCAACATATGTACAAATATGCCTGATACAACTGATGTATGGATTGTAATAAGCATTTTAAGATCTCTCAATATAATTATTTTAAAAAGCAAAAACAAAACAAACAAAACCTCTTTGCGGCACAAAGCAGACCTTATTCCAAGTAATTCCCCCAGTATGTCACAATGTCAGCACTGCTTCTGCACCTTTGACTTCCTCTATTTGCTTACTTTTGTTGCTAGCTAATACCCACGCGGATTTTAAAATGCAAGTTCACCTCCAGCAGGAAGTGGCTTAGGTAGGAACTTTTCTATACGGAGCTAGAAAAGTTCTGTGCCTCACTGTTTACATGCCTATTTTCAATCTCTTCTCCTTTTCCAAAAGAGACTGAACTCCGAGAGGGCAAGGGATTCAAGAACAATGAACTTTGTTTTGAGTCCTTTGAATCCTTCAAAGCTTTCAAAAAATACATTTCTAGATAGGTTTTGAATTCTCTGAGTTGTTGTTCACCCATTTACTGGAGTACATATTAAGCAGTGGGAGAGAGATAATTATTAGAGACTTAAAATAGGGTGATATAATAGTAAAGGGGTAGTGGTTCAGACTAGAGGTCAGGAAAGGTTTTTCTGAGAAATCAACACTTAAGACAGTCCCCTGAAAGCCCAGAAGTAGTCAATGAAGTAAAAATTAGGAAGGAAAGCATTTGAGGTAATGGCTCTAAAGCAGAGGCAATGTCTAAACCAGGAACGAATCTGAAACATCTCACGACTAGATTAGTGTAGCTAGAACGTAATACACGAGCATGAGAATGATCTGGAGGGAGCTGAGCAGGAGCCTTATCATGTAGGACTTTGCGAGAAAAAGATGAGGCTGTTTTCTCTCAAAGATTTACAAAATCTTGGATACCAATATTGGGTCAATATGAGTAGAAAATGACTTGATGTCAGTGAATGTTGGTTTACTGCTTACAGAAATCAACATACTCCTGACTTTGTTAGAAATCATATATTGCCTGCTGTGCAGGGAACGGACCTGGAGCAGGGGAAGAATGAAATGAAAAGTTAGTTTGTAGACTCTTGGCAATAATCAAGACAAAAACCAACAAGGTAGTGATCCGGATTTGAGCAGCTGTAATAAAGATGGGGTAAAAGTGGGCAGATTAAGTATGTTTTGGAGGTAGAGTTGGCAGTATTTGCTGAAGAATGAAATATGGGGGAGAATGGGAAGTGCTGAAGGCAAGAATGATCAAGAATAATTTTCAGGGACTTTGGTTGGATTAAATTGGTGGCACAAATTGGATGGATAACAATTCTGTTGACTGAAATGGAAAAGACAGAGGAGGAGCAGGATTTGGAGGGGGGAGTTAGAAATAAAAGTTCTGTTTTTACTATATGTGAAAGGTCCCTAGTATATGTATGTAGAAATATCAAATATTAAGTTGGCAGGGCCAACGTGGAGATAACAACTTGGATTCCCAAGTATGAAGGAGTACATAGATCAGGGGTGAGCAAAGATTTTATGTTGCAGGTCAAATATTTTTGGTCTTGTGTGTCCTACTGTTGCAATTACTGAATGTTGCCAGTGTAGTGCAAAAGGACCCACAGAATATACAAACAAATGAGCAGGGCTATGTTCTAATAAACTATTTACAATTAAACTTCCAGAAAAACACAGCCATATATATAGTCAGATACTCCTCCACCACCCTCTTCAAATAAAGATCTCGAAAAAGCGGAGAACCCAAAGCCTGAATTCTGAACCCCCCAGGTAAGAGAACTTCAGCCAGGCACAGACTGGCAATTCAGGGGCAGGAAGTTTGTGCAAGGATACCCCCAAAAAAGGCAGCAGTTTCTCAGCATAAATTTACCAACTTCAAACAGAAATCCTGAAGGCAAACAGTAAGGTGGCCAATAAGCTGCCAGCTGGCAGTCTCTCCTCCAGTGCTCTGGTCCTCAGGGGGTGGGAGAGAAAGGGATAAATTACCCCACACTCCTCATAATTGCAGGGCCCTGAGGTTGATCTAATCCCTTAGATCTCTAGGAGGGTGAGAGTGAACCTGACTGAACCTGGCCAAGGGGAATTAATGAAAGAGAAGCTGAAGCTCATCAGCTCTCCAAAGCTGTGTGGCTGATAAAGATGTAGATCCATACATGGGTTCTCCGTCAGTGATGGATGCTTGAAACGTGTTCCCATGTCTTTCTGGGACAGAGATAGGTTCATGGTTGCAAAGTGGACTAAGATTCTTGGATGGTTTCTTTCCATTCCTTCTGGACAATTGGCCTTGGGAGAAGGGTGATTTTGTCTTTGGCTG